CTGACTCACTGTCTCATAACACAGGGACAATATGTGGTCCTCATCTCCCTACAGGGACAGAACAGGAGGACAGAGTGACCCTGACTCACTGTCTCATAACACAGGGACAATACGTGGTCCTCATCTCCCTACAGGGACAGAACAGGAGGACAGAGTGACCCTGACTCACTGTCTCATAACACAGGGACAATACGTGGTCCTCATCTCCCTACAGGGACAGAACAGGAGGACAGAGTGACCCTCACTCACTGTCTCATAACACAGGGACAAAATGTGGTCCTCATCTCCCTACAGGGACAGAACAGGAGGACAGAGTGACCCTCACTCACTGTCTCATAACACAGGGACAAAATGTGGTCCTCATCTCCCTACAGGGACAGAACAGGAGGACAGAGTGACCCTCACTCACTGTCTCATAACACAGAGACAAAATGTGGTCCTCATCTCCCTACAGGGACACGCATTACATCATTAAAGGTCATCACAATGTGTCAATTTAATATTTGTGCAGCAGGTCAACCCTGGTCTCAAATGGGCTATATAGAGTGCATTCGGAAGGTATTCAGACCCCTTGACTTATTCCACATTTTGTTACGTTACAGCCTTATTCTAAAATGGATTAAATCATTTTTCCCCTCCTCAATCTACACACAATACCCCATAATGACAAAGCAAAAACAGGTTTTTAGATTTTTTTGCTAATTTATTAAAAATAAAAAAACAGAAATATAACATTTACATAAGTATTCAGACCCTTTACTCAGTACTTTGTTGAAGCACCTTTGGCAGCGATTACAGCCTTGAGTCTTCTTGGGTATGACGCTACAAGCTTGGCACACCTGTATTTGGGGAGTTTCTCCCATTCTTCTCTGCAGATCCTCTCTGTCAGGTTGGATGCACAGCTATTGTCAGGTCTCCAGAGATGTTTGATTAGGTACAAGTCTGGGATCTGGCTGGGCCACTCAAGGACATTCAGAGACTTGTCCCAAAGCCACTCCTGCATTGATATGTTTTGGTACCCTTCCCCAGATCTGTGCCTTTACACAATCCTGTCTCTGAGCTCTACGGACAATTCCTTCGACCTCATAGCTTGGTTTTTGCTCTGACATGCACTGTCAACTGTGGGATCTTATACAGAGAGGTGTGTGCCTTTCCAAATCATGTCCAATCAATTTAATTTACCACAGGTGGACTCCAATCAAGTTGTAGAAACATCTCAAGGATGATCAATGGAAACAGGATGCACCGGAGCTCAATTTTGAGTCTCATAGCAGGGTCTGAATACTTAAGTACATTTTACATTTTACATTTTAGTAATTTAGCAGACGCTCTTATCCAGAGCCACTTACAGTTAGATACAGTTACATACATTTTTTTTCTCTTTTTTTTTTCTCCATAAATAAGGTATTTCTGTTTTTTCTAACAACCTGTTTTCTCTTTGTCATTATGGGTATTGTGTGTAGAGCTGGGGAACCTTTCTGATTTAATCCATTTTATAATAAGGCTGCAACATGTCAAATTGTAGAAAAAGTCAAGGGGTCTGAATACTTTCCGAAGGCACTGTATAATACACACTGCTCAAAAAAATAAAGGGAACACTTAAACAACACAATGTAACTCCAAGTCAATCACACTTCTGTGAAATCAAACTGTCCACTTAGGAAGCAACACTGATTGACAATACATTTCACATGCTGTTGTGCAAATGGAATAGACAACAGGTGGAAATTATAGGCAATTAGCAAGACACCCCCAATAAAGGACTGGTTTTGCAGGTGGTGACCACAGACCACTTCTCAGTTCCTATGCTTCCTAGCTGATGTTTTGGTCACTTTTGAATGCTGGCGGTGCTTTGACTCTAGTGGTAGCATGAGACGGAGTCTACAACCCACACAAGTGGCTCAGGTAGTGCAGCTCATTCAGGATGGCACATCAATGCGAGCTGTGGCAAGAAGGTTTGCTGTGTCTGTCAGCGTAGTGTCCAGAGCATGGAGGCGCTACCAGGAGACAGGCCAGTACATCAGGAGACGTGGAGGAGGCCGTAGGAGGGCAACAACCCAGCAGCAGGACTGCTACCTCTGCCTTTGTGCAAGGAGGAGCAGGAGGAGCACTGCCAGAGCCCTGCAAAATGACCTCCAGCAGGCCACAAATGTGCATGTGTCTGCTCAAACGGTCAGAAACAGACTCCATGAGGGTGGTATGAGGGCCCGACGTCCACAGGTGGGGGTTGTGCTTACAGCCCAACACCGTGCAGGACGTTTGGCATTTGCCAGAGAACACCAAGATTTGCAAATTCGCCACTGGCGCCCTGTGCTCTTCACAGATGAAAGCAGGTTCACACTGAGCACATGTGACAGACGTGACAGAGTCTGGAGACGCCGTGGAGAACGTTCTGCTGCCTGCAACATCCTCAAGCATGACCGATTTGGCGGTGGGTCAGTCATGGTGTGGGGTGGCATTTCTTTGGGGGGGCCGCACAGCCCTCCATGTGCTCGCCAGAGGTAGCCTGACTGCCATTAGGTACCGAGATGAGATCCTCAGACCCCTTGTGAGACCATATGCTGGTGCGGTTGGCCCTGGGTTCCTCCTAATGCAAGACATTTACATTTACATTTACATTTTAGTCATTTAGCAGACACTCTTATCCAGAGCGACTTACAGTTAGTGAGTGCATACATTTTTTATTTTATATACTGGAATCGAACCCACAACCCTGGCGTTGCAAACGCCATGCTCTACCAACTGAGCTACATCCCTGCCGGCCATTACCTCCCCTACCCTGGACGACGCTGGGCCAATTGTGCGCCGCCCCATGGGTCTCCCGGTCACGGTCGGCTATGACAGAGCCTGGATTCGAACCAGGATCTCTAGTGGCACAGCTAGCACTGCGATGCAGTGCCTTAGACCACTGCGCCACTCGGGAGAACCAAGACCATGACCAAGCAAGACAATGCTAGACCTCATGTGGCTGGAGTGTGTCAGCAGTTCCTGCTAGAGGAAGGCACTGATGCTATGGACTGGCCCGCCCGTTCCCCAGACCTGAATCCAATTGAGCACATCTGGGATATCATGTCTCGCTCCATCCACCAACGCCACGTTGCACCACAGACTGTCCAGGAGTTGGCGGATGCTTTAGTCCAGGTCTGGGAGGAGATCCCTCAGGAGACCATCCGCCACCTCATCAGGAGCATGCCCAGGCATTGTAGGGAGGTCATACAGGCACGTGGAGGCCACACACACTACTGAGCCTCATTTTGACTTGTTTTAAGGACATTACATCAAAGTTGGATCAGCCTGTAGTGTGGTTTTCCACTTTAATTTTGAGGGTGACTCCAAATCCAGACCTCCATGGGTTGATACATTTGATTTCCATTGATAATTTTTGTGTGATTTTGTTGTCAGCACATTCAACTATGTAAAGAAAAAAGTATTTAATAAGATTATTTCATTCATTCAGATCTAGGATGTGTTGTTTTAGTGTTCCCTTTATTTTTTTGAGCAGTGTATATAGAGTACCAGTCAAAAGTTTGGACACACCTACTCATTCAAGGGTTTTTCTTTATTTGTACTATATTCTACATTGTAGAATAATAGTGAAACATAAAATCTATGAAATAACACATATGGAATCATGTAGTAACCAAAAAAGTGTTTAACAAATCAAAATATATTTTATATTTGAGATTCTTCAAAGTAGCCACCCTTTGACTTGATGACAGCTTTGCACACTCTTGGCATTCTCTCAACCAGCTTCATGAGGTAGTCACCTGGAATGCATTTCAATTAACAGGTGTGCCTTGTTAAAAGTTAATTTGTGGAATTTCTTAATGCGTTTGAGCCAATCAGTTGTGTTGTGACAAGGTAGGGGTGGTATACAGAAGATAGCCCTATTTGGTAAAATACCAAGTCCATATTATGGCAAGAACAGCTCAAATAAGCAAAGAGAAACTAAGTGGTAACTCTGGGTCTTCCGTTCCTGTGGTGGTCCTCATGAGAGCCAGTTTCATCATAGCGCTTGATGGTTTTTGCGACTGCACTTGAAGAAACTTTTAAAGTTCTTGAAATGTTCCGGATTGACTGACCTTCATGTCTTAAAGTAATGATGGACTGTCGTTTCTCTTTGCTTATTTGAGCTGTTCTTGCCATAATATGGACTTGGTCTTTTACCAAATAGGACTATCTTCTGTATACCACCCCTACCTTGTCACAACACAACTGATTGGCTCAAACGCATTAAGAAGGAAAGAAATTCCACAAATTAACTTTTAACAAGGCACACCTGTTAATTGAAATGCATTCCAGGTGATTACCTCATGAAGCTGGTTGAGAGAATGCCAAGAGTGTGCAAATCTGTCATCAAGGCAAACGGTGGCTACTTTGAAGAATCTCAAATAGTTTTGATGTCTTCACTATTATTCTACAATGTAGAACATAGTCAAAATAAAGAAAAACCCTTGAATGAGTAGGTGTGCCCAAACTTTTGACTGGTACTGTATCTATATAAAATAAATAAATATCACAACAAAGACATTGCATCATCTTTATCTTCCTCTTAGGAAGACCACAACAGCCCAGTAACTTGTTGTTGCTCCTACCTTGACAGTGATCAGGGGCCTGAATGTTCGGACCAGAGAGAGGCTTGAGTCGTAGATGCTGTTCCCAACCTTGAGCCTCTGCTTCAGGGGGACGGGTCTGTAGTCAGTCTGGTAGAGCTCCGCATCCAGCCACCCAGCCAGCAGGGACAGGTTAGGGAGGGTGGCACTCATACCCACGATTTGGACACCTTCTGATAAGGAGCTAGACACAGAGAGAGAGAGAGAGAGAGAGAGAGAGAGAGAGAGAGAGAGAGAAAAAAGAGAGGATAGAGAGAGAGACAAGAGAGAGTGGGGAAGTGAGAGACCAGACAAGACAGAGACAAACAAGAGAGAAAGAGAGAAAAAGAGAGAAGAGAGAAAGAGAGAGAGAGAGAGAGAAGAGAGACAGAGAAAGAGCCCGAAGACAGAGAGGGCCCGAGAGACAGAGAAAGAACGAGAGAGAAAAGGGGAAAAGAAGAGAACAGAAGAGAAAGAGAGGAAGAAGACAGACAGAGAGAAGAGAGAAAAGACAGAAAGAGAAACCCGAGAGAGACAAAAAAGAGATAAGAGACAATGGGGGAACAATTTTACAAAGAATAAAACGGGAAAAACCGGGAAAAAAGGGGAAGGGGGGGTGGAAAAGGGAAAAGGTAAAGGGGGAAAGGGAGGGAGAAAAGGGAAATTTTTAGGGATGGGGGATTTTGGTAGGAATTGGAATTAAAAAGAAAAAAAAAGAGGGGGGAGGAAAAAATAAAAGGAAAAATAGGGGGAAAAGGGGAAAAAGTTAATGGGGGCCAAAAATAAAGGAAGTGAATCCCCGTCGGTAAATTGAACCCCCCACCCTCGAGCCCGCAAAACCCATGGGCTGGGGGTCCAAAACCCCTTGCCCAGCCCCCCCCCCGCTTTTCCCTCTCTCCCCTCTCTCTCCTTTTCCCCTCTCCTCTCCCCTTTTCTTTTTTTCTTTTTTCCCCTCCTTTTTTCTTTCTTTTTAAAACCGGCTCCCCTTTTCTCTCTCCCTCCCGCTTTAATTCCCCTCCTTTTATACCCCTCTTTCCCGCTCTTTCTCCCCGTCTCCCTCCCTCTCTCCCCCCTCCCCCCCGCTCCTCTTCTCTCCCCCCCGGGCCCTTCCCCCTCTCCTTTTCCTCCCCCGCTCTCTCCTCAAACCCAAAAAATCGCCCGGCCCTCTCTTCCCCGGGGTTGTCCTCCACCCGGGTTTTTCCTTCCTTTGTTTTTTCCCCCCTTTTCCTAAAAAGCCCCGGGGGGTTTTTTTTTTTTTGGGGGTTTTATTTTTCCCTTATTAATTTGTTTTTTTAATATTTTTTGTTGGGTTTAAAAAAAATGGGACCGGGGGGGGAAGAAATTTAAGGGGGAATTTTATAAAAAGGTAGTTTGGGTTTTTTTGGGAAAATTGTAATGAAAGGTTTGTGAAAGGGGGTATTTTTAAGGTGTGAAGGGGTAGGGGGGGTGGGTTAAGTGAAAAGGGTTTTAAATGAATAGGGTTTATAATTAAAGTAGTAAAGGAAATGGGTTTTGGCCCGGGGGGTTTCCAATTTTTGCCCGCCCCCCCCCAAAAAGGCCCCCAGTTAATTTTTTTTTTCCTTACCCCCCAAAAATGTACTTTTTGGTTTCCAAACCGGAACCAAATTCCCAAATTTGTTTTCCCCCTGTCCCCCTGCCCAAAAAAAGCCTTGTTGAACACACTTCCAGAGACCCCCCCCCCTTCCAAACCCAAAAAAGCCTTTTTTGAAACAAAACTTCCAGGAACCCCCCCCCCCCAAAAAACCTTTTTTAACACACTTCCCCGAGACCCCGCCCCTCAACCCAAACCTTTTGAAAAAACACTTCCCCGAAAACCCCAACCCCCCCCCCCCCAGACCCCCCAACCCCCCCCCCCCGGTTTGTTTTGAAAAAGGGCCACGTTCTAAATCCCCCTTTTTTGAGCCCCCCCGGAAGGGGGGTCCGGCAGGGTATTCCCCCCTTTACCCCAGTTCCCCCTAAACCATATGAGCTCGTTTCCAAAAAACTAAACCCCCCACCCACAAAACACCCAGCTGTTTTTGAATTTTACAAACCCAGCATTTTGAAATTTTTCAATACACAAACAAAACCTGGGGGTTAGATTTTTAAAAATACCCAAAAATTTTTGATTTTAAAAAATAAAACCCCAAAAAACCCCCAACCCGGTTAATTATTACAATACCCCAACACAAACACCTTTTTGATTATTACAAAATCCCCCGCAGGGTTTAATTCTTACAATACCCAGAACACACCATTATTTTAAATTCCATTAAAAAACCCCCCCAATTTTTAATTTTCCCAAAAAAAACCCCCCCCCACCCCCCATTTTGGTTTTACAAACCCACCACCCCGGGTTTTGAAATTTTTCCCAAACCCAGCAGGTTGATTATTTAAAAATACCAAAACCCCAAAAGGAGGGGTTGATTATTTCAAAAAACCCCAACAGGTTTTGGGTTTTTACAAAAAACCCCCAAAACCCCCAACAGGGTTTGATTATTACATACCAACACACCAAAGGTTATTTTAAAATTAAAAAAACCCCAACAGTTAGATTTTTACAAAAACCCCAAACACAAAACAACAGGTTTAAATTTTTTCAATACACAAAAGGTTAGATTATTACCTAAAACAGACACACCAGGGGTTGATTTTTTACAATAAAACAGACAAAACCCCGCGGTTAGATTATTAAAAAACCCCGAAAAAACACAGCCCCCCCCCCGGTTTTGATTATTACCCCCCTTCCAACAGCATGTTAATTATTACCAAAACAACAAAAGCAGGTTTGGGTTAAATTAAAAATAAAAAACCCAAAAAGTTTTGATTATTACAATACCAAAAGACACACAGCAGGTTTTTGATTATTTACAATACACAACCCGGGTTTAAATTAATTTTCAATACAGAACACCCCCAAACCCCTTAGGTTATTACAAACACAGAAAAAACAACAGGGTTTTAAATTTTTTACAATAAAAACCAAACACCCCAGCAGGTTGATTAAATTTCAATAAAAACAACACACACACAGGTTTAAAATTTTACAAAAACACAGACAAAACATCAGGGTTATTATTAAAACAAAAGACCCCATCAGGTTAAAATGATTACAATAAACAAACAACATGTTTCAACATCAACGCCCCTACCCAGTAGGTCCATGGCTCCCCTCATAGTTTTGTTGGGGGGATTTGAGTTGGGGGCCCTTTTCTATTTTTTTACCACTCCTGTTCCCGGCTACTGAAGCCTTGTTTGGGGCCAAACCCCCTCCCTTTACCCCCCCACAAAACCCCCCCGCCCAGCCCCTTTTAAAACCCAAAACCCCCCCCTCTTTGGCCCCCCAAAAGGCACCACCCCCTCTTTAACCCGCCCCCCTTTTAAAATACACCCCCCCCCCGTTTTTCTAGGAAGCACCCCTTCCCCCGGGAAAGGCACCAACACGTCTCTGAAACACAATCTGGAAAAAGGGCACCCCAAATGGGGGCTGGAACAAAACTCCCGGAAAAGGACCACCAAAAACCCCCCCTTTTTTAAAAACCAAAGCTCCCGGGAAAAGGGAAAACACACAAAAATGTCCCCCCTTGGGAAAAAACCTCAAAAGACACCCCCAAACCCCCTTTTTCTTGGGCCCCGGAAAAGGCCCCCCCCTGTTCTTTGGAACCCCCCCCTTTAAAACCCCCCCCCCTTTTTTAAACCCCTCTGGAAAAGGGGCAAAACACATTTTTTCTGGAGAACCCCTGGAAAAGGAAAAACACCCCAACCCCCCCCCGAGAACACCTCTGGAAAGGAACCCCACACACTGTTTCCCCCTGGAAAAAGGAAAAACCCAACCCCCTCCCGGAAAGGAAAAAACCCCAAAACCCCCCCTGGAAAAAAAACACCCTTTTCGAAAAAGTTAAAAACACAACCCGCCTCTGAGAACACGCTCTGGAAAAAGGGCCCCCCCACACCCCAAACCCTGAGAACACACCCCTGGAAAAGGGCACCAAAACCCACTGTCTCTGAGAAAAACCCCTCTGGAAAAAAGGGCAAAACACACTGTCTCTGAAAACACTTTTGGAAAAGGGAAACCCCCCCAACCCCCCGCCCCCCTTTAAAAACGCTCCCGGAAAAGGGCAAAACACACTGTCTCTTAAAAAACCCTTGGGAAAAAGGGCACACAAAACTTTCTTGAGAAAACACATCGGAAAAAACACCCAACACCTGTCTCTAGAACCACTCTTAAAAGGACCACAAAAACCCCCCCCTGAAAACCCACTCCGGAAAAAGGAAAAACACACACTTTTCCTTAGAAAAACCTCTTGAAAGGGCACACCACCCGCCTCTGAAAACGCTTTTTTAAAAGGAACCAAAACACTGTCTCTTAGAACACCTCTGGAAAAAGGGCACACCCAAACCCCCTCTGAAACCCCCTCTGGGGAAAAAGGAAAAAAACACACCCCACCTCTTAAACACCTCTGGGAAAAAGGGCACACACACCCCCTCTGGGAAAAACGCTCCCGGGAAAAGGAAAACCCCACAAAACCCCCCTTTTTGAGAACCCCAAACCCGGAAAAAGGCAAAACAAAACCCCGTCCCCCTGAGAACACACTCTGGAAAGGACACCAAAAAACCCCCCTCTTTAAAACAGCTCTGGAAAAAGGGCCACCCCAAAACCCCCCTCGGGGAAAAACAAAAACTGGAAAAGGACACAAACCCCGCCTCTAAACACACTCTGGGAAAAAAAAAACACACACCTGGTTTGGAAAAGAAACACTTCCAAAACTGGTTTTATTACTTTATCCCAAAAAAAAGCTTTTTGAAAGACCATCCCGCTAGTTTTATGCAAGAAAAATGTGTTTTTATAAACCCGTCAAATTTCCAACAATTCTAAAAGCCAACCCACAGCTTTTGGGTGGCCTCTTTTGAAAAGAGGAGGTCCCCCTTTTCCCTTTCCCCCACTATTTTTTTTTTTTAACCATTTTTTTTAAAAACCCTTTTTTAACCAAAGGCCCTTTATTTAAAACAAAAGCCCCCCTTTTTTAATGACGGGCCCACAAATCAAAAAAAAATAACCCAAAAAAATTTCCCCCCCCAAAAAACCCTTTCCCCCCCTTACCCTTTTGTCCCAAAACCCCCAAAACACCCGGACCCGGGGGTCCTTTTAATTTTTAAAAGGGCCTTTTAACCCGGGGTTTTAAATTGGGCCCCTTTTTAACCCTGAATTCAGTGGGCCGGGGAGACCCCCTGGGGATGCAGGCCGTAGACCGCGAGGGTGCCCGTGCCCCCTAACCTTTAGAGGGAGTGCCGAACCCGCTGGACCTTCCCCCTCGGGCCCCCTTTTTGGGCCCCCCCTTATAGCCCCCTGAATTTTGTCCCCTAAAACCGCCTTTCCCCACCCCCGGTTCTTTTAAGATGCCTATAGC